AAACGTAATGTTCTCCCTTAAAAATATTTTGACTTTAAGCACAGAGTCCAATGCATTCTGTAACATGAAATTAATAACCTTTGACGCAACATATGTATAGGATCCTCGAAATTGCATTGTCCTATGCATCGGAGTGACAGCAAGTACTTTACCGCGCGTATTTCTATTATGAATTTCTCTCCGGTAATGAATTTTATTATGTAAGTAAGTTGGGGTACTATTTTTTACAATTCACAATCGAGAGTAATGTAAAGTTCGCTGCTGTCTAGTATTTAACCACCCAAGTGAATGTAAACAACCCGTGACATGGTCTCGTTGTCGCAGGCCACAAACCAACCTAACGCAGGCATTCTGAACTCTTTGTAATCTGGTTCGGTTGTACTCAGTCAAACAGGACCCATACACTACATCGCAATAGTTAATGTGCGATAACACTAATGCATCGCAGAGCATACTTTTGTTTTATAGTTCAACATACTGCGTCTGCAGTATATAAGCCTCAATCCAGCATACGCATTTTTAATAATATTATTAACATGTACATCAAAACGCAACTCCGAATCCAGATACAGCCCAAGATTTTTGGTAACATCCGTATACATAATGTACTCGTTATTTATACATATTTTAATTTCCGAAATGCATTTTTGTCGAGTATTTTTTCGGCCGAAAAGCATAACGCGAGACTTTGAAGGATTTAACGATAAACAATAATTATGTGACAACTCATAAAACGAATTTAAATCGAAGTTGATACGATAATTAGATTGCAATATTTCATCTTTATGGCATGATAGATATATTTGGGTGTCGTCTGCATAGAAATGACTTTTAGTATACTTTAGGCATTTATGAAAGGATGACGTATATACTATAAATAAAAGAGGTCCTAAGATTGAACCTTGTGGGACCCCGCTAATGCATCTGAGAGGAATGGAATAGTTCTCGTTGTATTTAACCAGCTGAATTCTATCACAGAGGTAGCTCTTCATCAAGTTCAAGGCGTCTGGCTGAAATCCAATATTGTGAAGAATTGCAACCATCAATTGGTGGTTAATTCTATCAAAGGCCTTCGAATAGTCTAATAGAACAAGTGTGGTAACCATATCGTTATCATTTGCTGCCAAAATATCATCAACAATTTATTGTTAATATGATTTGATTTAGGTATACAAGAATGCAAAGCTCCCAAGAGAAATAAATAAATACGTTACAGTGTACCAATCGCCATCTCAATAACACTAATTAACAAAATACTGCTAAGCAGGTAAGATCCGACTGCAAAAAAAAAAAAAAATAATATCCATTAATTGATTTCATACACATACACACCAATAATTAAAAATAAGAAATTAAGAACACATTTTAATATGTAAGTCCCTAGTGCTATATAAAAAATTAACAATCCGAAAAAGATTATAGAAATAAAAACATATTCATAATTTAAAGTAATAATAAAAAAGACAAGTTTCAGAGACACCAGTATAGAATAATGCAAGCACAATTTATTAACAAAAGTATGGCAAATAGGTTGCGATACGCAAGGCCAACAAACAACAATGTGATAATATACCTAAATACCTAACCTAACCTAAGTACCTAACGTGATAAGACCCAGTTACCAAAACATAAACAAAGCTCACGAACCCATTCATTTTAAATGTCAAGTTATCAACATTAGTGTACATCTTTAAGGCAGTTTACATCATTGATGACATAAGCACGAGAGTTATCACTTTTACGCATCAATATTTTTGCATTTGAAACCCACAAATATTTAACTTGCTCAGTTTTTTTGAACTCGCGACACTTATTGAATAGTGCTTTATTGTCCTTGGTTAAATGCTCGTTGACGTAAACTGCTGTGTTCCTCTGCATTTTCCACTCGTCACGGATATCACCTGCGCTGAAGTTTCTCTTTATTCGTTTAGCTCTCATAATTTCATATTTTTTGTGGCGCGATATAAACTTCACGATAATAGCACGAGGCACAGAGTTTTGCACGTTCCCGACCCGATGGCAACAGTCAATATCTTCGGGAACAATCGCACCCCCAACGCACGGCAAGTCGTCATCACTAGGATCAACACATTTTCGCCTTTCTCCTCAGGGATCCCGACAATTTCGACATTGTTGAATCTCGAGTATTGCTGCAGCCCATTCAAATCACTTCTTAATTGCTTGTTCTCTGATTTTAAGGATTCGAAACCACTTTCGAGAACATTTATCTTATGATATCCTTCGTCCAATCTTTTCTCCAATGCTTTAATCAGGGCAGTGTTGTCGTCAATTTTGTTGTGACACGCTTCCACCGACTTTTCCACATTTGCTAATTTATTATGGGTAATCTTCAACAGTCGCATGAGATCAGCCAAAGATGGGTTAGAACACCCCGTGCAAGTCCAGCCACTGGCCTTATCGCCTTCCGGAAGACAATCGACATGACATACTGATCCACAATCCGGTTCTGAGCAATTCACAGAGTTTCGATAATTACACTTAACCTTACAAAAGTAACATTCGGACGACATTTTAAAATACGAAATCAAATGACCTTTGCCACTGCTATCACTAAAATGATGGTTTATGGACAATTCAACACAACAGGGCAAGGAAATAAATTGGAATTTCTCACGTTCTACTGCTAGGAAGCTCCCCAAACTTTTACACACATGTGTACTTACATGAATAGTACAAACACCATCGGAATTTACTTTCTTTGAATTCGCATAACTGACTTTTATTGCGAAGTATTTAGGAGCACAATAAAACGACTGTACGCGTGCCGGCACATTCGAACCAATATTATATAGTTGTATACGTCTCGAGATGTTACAAGATATGCAACCTTAGTTGCATCTTCTGGTCAGGAACGGATGGCCGCGGCCGATTGTGTACACACCGTCGATTTTCATCGATATCTAACGGAGGAATTTTACAACACTTATTACATTTCCATGTTACTAATTCGATTTTTCTTACAGTCCCTATTTAAATATATACCCGCACACTCATTCGGATTGAAACCGCAGGACAGTTTGGCTCGACCCATCTACGGCAGAGTCGATGGGAAGGTAACTGATGCCGAACATCGCGAATAGTTGATGGTATTTGTTTTTAATTCCGATTCGTCATGGAGTTGAAAGGGCATTGTGGGATACGTTACCCCGAGCCGCATTGCGAAGACGTCGCTGCTGCTCTCTCTGTATGTGCGGGACATACCTAAAACACAGGGCACCATCCTGGTTCTCTACTCCGACGACGTCACCATCCAGGCAGCATCGTGGCAACTAGAGTCCATCTCTAGGAGACTCAAATCTGCACTGGACAATTTACAAGAATGGTACACCAGATGGAGGATCGCCGTCAACGCCGCCTCTTCACAGAAAGATGACAAGAACACGCGAGCAACCTCACTCACTATCTTCAGAAATGCCATTTCGTGGTGGACCGAAGCGAAGTACCCTAGCGTCGTGCCGAAACGACATCTGACATGGAGTGCTCATGTCAGATATTGCTCCTTAACTCCTTAACCAGGAGGACCAGAATCAAGATACAGCTGTGCACTTCCATCATCTGACCAACGATGACTCATTGCTCTTCAGTGTGGGAATATGTCACAGCATCACACGCCGCAAGAATTCAGATCGCCCAAAAGAAGACATTGAAGATGGCCGTGAACGTCCCGTGGTTCGTGCGGTACTTAGATATCGATGGTGCCCCAAGGAATTCATTACCAACGATAAAGCGATCAAGACCTTCGGCAGTCTGCGAAGCCACCAGAATATGCTTTTAAGGGAACTAGACACCTACGAAGAGGACCAACCCATGAAATTAGAATATGCAAAGCTTGAAGGATTGGATGCAAGTGTCAGTAAATATTTCAGATGTTTTTACCCACCTGGCGTCGTCGCCTTAATCGTGTCTCTGAGATGCCTAGCCGTTTTACTGCAGAAGTAGACGCATGACGAATTGAGTGGGCAGAAGTATCCTATTGTCTATCTCGCTCCGGACTAATCCTCCTTTGGCCTTGAGCGAAGTGTATATTGAGTCACTTTGTTTCCTAGGCGAGACAAATAATTTTCAGATATCCCCGCTAGACGATTTTTTTTCGATACAACAAGAGCAGAAGCTGGACACACTACTTCCTCCATGGTATGTGCCTTATACATGTTATCACTGTTGGAATGCTTTGTTTATGATCAACATAAATTAACGTATCTTCAAATTTAAGTAAAATACAAAAAGAATGGATAATTACGATTACTGCAATAGAAACTAGATATCCTAAATTAAAGAAAATATTTATTTATTTAGTTATTTAGTTATTTATTTATTTATTTATTTATTTATTTATTTATTTATTTATTTATTTATTTATTATTTATTTATTATCTCTCTCTTGTTCGCTGCAATGAGCAAGTAAATCGATTCACTCAGGTAATTTGCCGAACCGAAACCGTACGTACATTCTTACTGCAAAGAATTGAGTACTTACGTTACACTACGGAAGACCGATGCGCATCGGCCCTGAGAGTATTTAACTAAAACAAACAGATAAACATTTATGCCATTATGGCTTTCAAGCGGCAATGTCAAATAAGTACAGGGAACTGTATACAATACAAACCACAGTTAATTTATTAAAGGCAAATCAAAATTGATGTGAGTTGGGAAATTACCCTTTCTAATACCTATCCGTCAGAGATATACGTCGTATATTAACAGAGGCTGTTCTCATTTCGGTCCGGTTGTTTTTATTGTCAAAAGTACCGCCATTTTTTGGGGCTCGATGCGCATTGCTTAACCGTTGCTTTATTTAAAGAAGAGAGGGTCGACAAAAATACTCTACTTACCCCTGCCCTCGCTCCTGCGTAGGCCAGGATATGTGCCATTCAAAACGGATGGGAAGAACTATCGAGAAGAACAATTCATTAGTTACATAGGTTTTCAAAATATTTAATTGGCGACGTGTAAATAATTAATTATAGTTTTTGGCCATTACCATTTAGCTACAAGATTTCTCTTAAATAGATTAATCCACAACGTAAAATCTCATATGATCTTTGACACTTATCATCACCTTCAATACCGTGACACTTCTCAACAACACGATCGATCGTAGCTTCCGGCACTTTATCCAGCAGCTCTCGTAGAAAAGATCTCTGCAGCTCTAACCGGTTATTGATTGCATTCGTTTTTTCCATGACGCAGTTGAAGTAACACTTCACATAAGGCTCATCGGGAAAGTCAAGGTTCGTAATTACATGATCAATGATTGCAGGGTCCGCCTTAGTATCCTCAATGCAAGTTGCTCGATAAGTAGCGACAGCTTTCCTCATGTTAAGGCGTGCTTCGTCAAATGACTAAAAAATGTCAACATTGTATAATGAAATGCAAAAAAAATACTTACTTGTTGAAATGTGCTTGCACACAAATACAACATAAGTATAGCGACAACCTTAGACATCTTATGGCCTTTGTTTAAAAACTGGTAACTTCATATTTATATGCGCCGGTCCAATCGGTGAATGGTGGAGGAAACATTATAGTGTAGGGAATTTTTACAACTAATGGGACGATTACCCCTGATCCCTTATCGCCGCATTAATCTAAAAATATTGTACATCCAGGATGCCATATATGTAATTTACGTTTGCAACCCAAACATTACAATGTGATGACGGTTCCAGATCATTAACAGTTGCTATTAGTGTCATTTATCTTCGTTTGTTCATGGTGTAGCACGGTCAGCTCTATGAGCAGATAACACAGATGGGGACTTTTTACATTAGAAAATAGAAGATGATTATTGATTATGCTAAATCTCCTCCGCTGTTTTCACTAATTTTATTAATACTTGACTACTATGTTCAATCTCCAATGTTTCAACAACACCGAAGATGTTCGTATTTATTACGAAAACAACTTAGCTTCAGCCATAAACATATACCACAATCTGGTTCTGTTAATTATTCAGCTAACATGCAAATTTCTTGGCAATTCAACTGTAACTATACGCCTATAAATCCAAAACTCATTAAAAGTATGGTCAATATTGAATTTATTAATGAATAAAGCAGCACAAGAAAGCGTGTGATTATGTGAGATTATGTGACAACGTGAAATATTACTTTCAATAGATTTCTGTTACATAAAACGTTCGCTCTATACAACGGTGTCATTTTCCAAGTAATGAAAGAATCCCCGTACGTCCAAAAGCCTCTCGGTAGTTACTCGAGGGAGCATTAGATAGTAATCATCTTGATCCCCATAACAAAATGTAGCTCTAAATATAGGTTTTACTCACGTCCAGTAAAAACTTTCGGTGTAAATGATTGCAGTCTATTTTCCAGAAGTAGAAAATACGAAAGCTAAAGTAAAATAAAAAAGGAAAATGAAATTTTTTATGTCATAAGTAAATAATTCAATCAAACAATAACTTTCTTACGTTATCCTTGGTAAACATAACTACTAGACTCAACTTTTTATTCCCCAATATTCTTTGTATTTCTTTCCTGTTATTTTAAGGGAAGAAGTTATATTAGATTGCGTTTCATTAATTTATAATAAATTGATTATTCGCGTAAATGTGGCTTTCTAGATATCCTTGTAAATGCCAAAATCTGAGCTGTATAAAATCTGTGAGGCACCTGCAAATTCGACCTTGTACAACCAACGCAAAGATCTGAATTATTCCGACCAAATCAATTGCGGGGCAACGTTCTCCTGAAAGGACCAAAAACTTGACAAACAAACTTCCTCCTTAAGACATAAATCTGGAAAACTTTCCTGCCTTGTTTCGTTGATCTTGGAAAGGAGTTTCGCAAATAATTATAACACTTCATTTGCTGATCGGATATTAAATACTGAATTTAGGAAGCGTAATAAAAATGTGCTTCAGTAAGTAATAAAGATAAAGAGTTTTATATATAAATTTGTCCAAGAGAAATTATTTTCCGTTTCCTACGATAGTGAACGAAACATGTAAGTAGAAGAGAGCCACTATTCCCACCACTTTTTGTGACGTCACAAGGTCGCGGTTACGTAACCTTTTTAGGTCAAGGTCATGGCCTTGGGGAGGGGATTCCTTGGGTTTTGATCGTAGCCTCCGTGAAGAGGGTTTTCCAGATACGTAACTAAGAAGTTGCGTTGTCTTATGGTGGCAAAGAAGTCGTGGCCTTGGTGAAGGGGACTTGCTGTTGTTTAGTCGCATCCTACGACCCGGAGATGTAGTTATCCCACCCCTACGCGGGTATATGTATATGTATCCACAAAAATTGAAACACTAGGGACCATAATGGAACTACGGTTACACACATTTGCTAAATAAGACATTTCCTGGCCGTGCGTCGGATAGGAAAAATCGGCCCCTTGACGCGTTCACCATAGATCTTTCTCTGCATGATTTCTTTCCCTGGGATCCAATGTGTATAATTTTGTGGCGATAGAAAATAAACATTTATTGTAATTATTTCCATTAAAATTAAATAATAAGTATTAAATTCTGATGGAATGGAATATTTCACTCAGCTAAGTTAGAACATGCTCTATAAATCCTCTGAATGTGCTAAATCCGACGATCAGCAGTGTAAATATATCTACTAAAACAGTTTAATAAGTAGAGGATTTCAGCTACAATCTCGAAGCGCGTTATAAACAAATTTGTTAATTTTAAACTGTATGAGTACTCGTGCTAAACTTTGGTTAATTATTCTTGATTACTATTTAACTAAATGCTATAGTATATTTTAAAGTTACAATTATGATACATATTGTTAAGGTTTAAACGCGTTTGTACTGATTAAGATCACCCACCAGTAAAAACCATCAACTTATATTGAAGAAAACGTAGAAACTACGCAACTAGCTGCCCGTACCCATTTTTAAGCCACTGGTAATCAGAATTACATCAATGCAACCACAATTCGTTAAGGAATTCAGCCTATGCAAGACAATTTTGTACAATCCGCATAGTAATCAGTACACCAACGTAAACGCTGCCTTAACTAAGGGTAGTGTTTTCAGTTTTCCCTAAATAAGTCGTAGTTGCAAAATGAGAAACTGCTTTTAATATTCTACACCTACAAATCCGCCGTAATTTAACTAGAGCAAATATTAGATTCTGATTTGTCTCAAATACTCCTAGTTTCGTTACCTACATAAAGGGAAAACGGTGTTGCCGCCAATTTAGGAGAATATTACATAGTTACCATTATTATTCTACAACTGGGGGAACGTGATATTGGAAATCTGATTATCTGTGATTGTTGAACAATACATCCAACCCTGCGAATACCTGCGTGAAAGTACCGTTTGTTAGCTGATGTGTTTAGCGACCTTAACAACGAATGATCCTAGATCAAGGGCTGTTAATCTCACGTATCTTCAAATAGAGGGGCGAATTCTGTCTGTCTACCTAAATTCTTCAAATAATTTACTTTAATTACAATTTGACTGTATAAATACGTCGCTTTATCGATTCCCTACTTGTACGTAATTAATTATACGTGTTAGAGCGATTCCAATACGTAAATTGAAATTTTTTCCATGTAATTACTATAAAGAGTCCTGGTTGAAATTTTGTTTAAGTTACATTTTGTTTTCGAGGAGTTTGCAAACTACTTATTTCCAGTTAGCCTATTTCATAACAAGTGCGCAAGGTGTGGGATTCCGAAACGCGTACAACGTTACGAAAACGAGCGTATCAATTGAGAAAAATGGTTCCTTTTTCTTTAAAATAATAAATTCAATTGTATACAGGGTGTTGCATGGTCGCATGTAAAAAAAATTGGGTGATAGAAGAGATCAAAACAAGCATTTTTTCCAAATAAGCCGAGGGTCCAACATGTTTTGTTTGGGAAGTTTCTCAGCAACCATAAGAGTTACAAAGATGGGTGGCACGTCTTTTCTTTTCTGGTTTCTGAAAAAAATTTTCAAAATTCCTACCACAAAAGGGGCACGTACCCCTACTTGGGGGTGCGAAAAAATTCTGATTTTGACGAAATTTGGTATCTGGGGGTTTTTGAACATCAAAATCACGAATCTGGAATTAGTTTTTGAAAATTCGAAAAAAAAAGTTCCACCGCAATTCTTGGCCGGACAACGAAAATGGATAGAATTCCACGAAATTTGTTGTGTACATACTTGATGAGTTAAGGAACAAAATTGTCGAACAGTTTTTTAAAATCACTTTTCAAACAAATGTTTATACTCATTTGAAGATTGGGCCTTAGGGTTACAAAGTGTCCCCCGCCTACTAGTGAGTGATCTAATTTCGCATGTAGTTAATTAAAAATGTCGCAAATAACAAAAAATAACGATTGTAAGTTGATATTATGACTACAAAAAAATCGATATGTCGATCATGATATTGAAGTCTGCAAATTCGATTCCAAGCGAAACACGTTGGACCCTCGGTTTATTTGGAAAAAGTGCTTGTCCTGATCCCCTCTAGCGCTCAATTTTTTTTTACATGCGGTCATGTAACACCCTGTATATTGTTGTAGATATACGTCGTTTGTGCAGGGCCATGCGGTATATTTTTTCAATATCCGAGATGCCGCCCATATAGTCCTTAAATATTTTTTTATGAAAATGACATTCAATTGTGATTTAAAAGAAATTGCACAAAACATGAAAACACTAATTTTATTTTTAAAAAGTACATACTCTAAGAACAACAACCAACTACAGTTATACCGATTTCCTGCAAATTCGTCAGTAGGGACGTGTAGTCTAGAGAGGCAGCTCGTGATGATTCAATAGAAATTTATTACCAGCTTTCTAAATTATTTAAATTTAGCAAAACTTCTCTGACCACTAGCGGCAGACACAGAGATTGTTAAGAAAGTTCTTATTTTTACAACAGTGTTTGGATAATAAACTAATTAGCTTGTTTTGGCCCAAATTATTTAAAACATCCGAAGATTTCATGGAAAAGGGTAACATACTAGATATACAGGGTGAAAATTTTATCTTTATCTTCAAAACTACGTTTTTTATCCAAAATTATAAAAGCTTGCTACCAATCTACGCACTTAAAATTTGTGGTCAGTGGCGTACTTCTACATAGTTAAGGGGGGTTTATTATTTTTTTGTAATGGCAACCACTAGTTTTACTACACATTCTTAAAGAGTGGGTACACTTTTTTGGATATAGTAAAATAAATAAAAATAAAATTAAATTAAAAAAATTGAATTACATAATCAAATTGAAGAGAAAAATCCCAAATAAGGAAAATGATTGTGGTACAATTAATTTAATAATTTCACTAGTTTGCGTTGAAAAGTCGTGAATCTTTTGTTAGTTATGTGAAAGCAATATATTGTATCAAAAATCCTTAAATAATCTACATGCTGAAAAATTATTTATAGTATTATAGTGGCATACGTCTACCGTGGTGTCTACAGAACTAAGAGAGTCACTTTTTTTAAATAGAACAGCACTATTTTTTGGTGAGGTATTATTAAAGGACGAACTTAAAAAAACAAGATCAAGCTAGTAACATTATGAAAT